TCTATACAGGGTCTTTATATTCATCAAAAAGGTCCAAAGTAAATACCTAGATGATACTATCTAATCCTTTGCTGAATTTCATATTTGTCTCAACGGAATATAAATACCAGGCTTTATTTTAGACTCACAGTGGGAGGCAGAATGCCTCAACTAGACCTCCCTTGGGAAGTATATAATATCCAGTTGTAGCCTCCCTACAACTTGGCCGCATTTCTTATTTATAGCACACCACCGGGAACTCATGGGATAAAGTTAGAATTAGAGAACGTGCATTGGACGTTTGACATTAAGATGCTTCGAATGCTTTTACTAACAAGTTAATTATTAACTTTAACTCTATTATTTTAATAGGCTGCAATTCTGGTCGTGAGTGTGAATAGCTAATTGGGTGGTTTTGGCAATAATGAATAAGTTGAAGGCGTTCAAAAAAGGCATCCAGGATGTCAAAGACGGCAACGAAACGGCTTTAGAAGCAAGCAAAAAAGAACTTATTTCCATCCCCGAGCTTCCCGAACTAGGTTCGCATATTTAATATCTATTCATTGGTGCTTCATTTAGCAACTCTTCAATTTCTGAAGTCATTGACTCTTTCCCACAACAAAATTCCAGGTACGCAGCAATCGATTCATATCATAAGCATTCAGAGATTCCTCATGAAATAGCATCCCTTGAGTATTTGGAACACCTCAATCTTTTTAACAATTGTATATCGGTGCGTAACGCAATCCATTATATAATCCATATTTTTAAAAGAATATTACCCCGAAAATATGCGAACTCAGAAACTTGCGTTCTCTTATACTCGGACTGAACAAAATCAATACCCTGCCACGTGGCTTTGGAGCTTTTCCTGCACTAGAAGTTCTGGACCTCACCTACAATAACTTAAATGAAAATAGTTTACCCGACAACTTTTTCAATCTTGGAACTCTGCGGGCACTTTACCTATCAGATAATGACTTTGAAAAGTTGCCACCAGGGATTGGGAACTTGGCGAATCTTGAAATTGTAAGTCGTATATTTATCTGATAATCAGCTTGCAATGCGCGACAATGATCTTCTGTTCTTGCCTTCGGAGATAGGAAAGCTTACACATCTCAAGGAATTACACTTGCAAGGCAACAGACTGCGCGTTTTGCCTCCAGAACTAGGCAAGTTTTGAGTATGATTTTGACGCGCCTGAGTATCCTCAGTATCCTGTTATCCTCTTGAATATAATGTTGCGTGAAATGTTCCGAATTGTAATTTGCTTCAACAAAGTGCTGTTAGATGAAGTGTTTTACTTACACAACCTCTTTGCTTTTTTGTTGTTCATGGGTCAGCTGTCTACTTGATTCCGGGCAAGGTAATTATCAAATTACATTATTTGACCACGTCTCTTTAGTGCTCGCAAAATGTTTTTACTTTAAAATAACTATATATAATTAAATGCAGGGATTCTTTTTGCGAATCACCGCATTTTCCCGCGTTTAGACTCGTACAACAGAGCCGATCTATCAGCATTTTTAGAACTTTCCTTTGACTGTCAAGTGGGCATCCGCACAACACTTCAAGACTTTCTAATCAATGGATGCGCATTACTAACAGTGCGTGAAGTAATTTGCTTTGGTAGCAGCTAAACTCGTTCATTCTATGAACAGTTTAATACAGCCTTTAAGCTCTGTTCAAACCGACTGCAAGCGCACAAAATAACTTAAAATGCATAAGAGCCTATGCTTTTTGTACTAGCGATCGGCATTCTACTGTTTTTATTGTTTGCATGCAACCGTAACGGCTGCAAGGGAAATCTATGCAGTTTGCGAATTCCATATTGCTTACCCCATCACCTGGAAGCAAATGAATCTTTGCCTTCGGAAAACTTTACAGTGCACCGCTATTTGCCGAAGTTTA